AGGGAGGTGGGAGGAGGAAGGAAGGAGGGAGGGAAGGAGAAAAAGAAAGACCAGCCAACCAAAACCAAAACCAAAACAAAGTGACTTGCGGCCCACTAGCAGAATCTTCTGAAACCCTCTTCCCAAGTTAAATTTTTTTCCAGCAACTTAGTGTAATTAATACTCTATGTAATGTCAAATGTACCAAAGGATTTGAAAAAAATTAACCCCTTCGTGGCGAAGGGGTTTATTTCAGATACAAAGATAAACTTGGGCTTTGCCAAGGACCTCTTGACCAACAAAGAGGGATGAACCCCCAAAGACATCCAATCCTTTCTATCATCTGTTACCTGAAATGACCTGTGGAAAAGAAGCACAGAATCCGGGATACTATTTGTATGCGCACAATGCTGTGTCACCTTGGGCAAGTCACTCAATTTCTCTGGGCCTGTAAAATCAGGTCTCAAGTCTATGGTACTTCATGGCTCAAACTCAATCAGCCCCCAGGGGAACTCGGTTCAGTTTCATCAAACTGAGTTTTAATGCCTGATGCTTAGTTGCTAAAGGCCAGAACTCAGCGCCTGTCTGTTTGTCATTTACAGGAAAGAAACCCGTGTTTTCTGACAAGGTGAGCTCTTTTCCTGTCTGGTTGTGTTTGCTTTCATTTCTGTCGTGTCTCATATCTTACACGCCTTCCCTCCTGTCTTGCAGCCCTCGCCCGCCACAGGAAGGTGAGTGCTCCCTTGTCTGTGGGAGGGAACTGGTCTCCCTGGGGCTCTGGTCTGTATCTCACGCATCCTTTCTCTCAACCCTGCAGGCCTCACGGGGAGCATTTACCCAAGATACAAAAGCCTCCTTTACCACCGACCACAGAGAGACACGACAGAAGCAGCCCCCTGCCAGGGAAGAAGCCACCTATGCCAAAGTAACTGTCCTCTGCTCCCTGAGCTTGCCATTGCGTGGGTGCCCCCAAGCACCTGCCTAGTGGTAGCTTCACGTAGGAACCGGAATCCTGGGCGATTCCCAGCAGGAGTGGCTCGTTTGCCACCGTGGCTGGAGGACTGTTCAGGCTCCTTAGGCTGAATGGAAAGTCCCAGGGTCCCATTAGAAGAAAATGGCCATCTGGCCAAGAAAGGAGCGGAGAGATGGTTAATTGGGAGTGTGGGTGTGAGTGCCATTTGTGGAGACCTTGTCCTCAACCAGTCACATTTGCGCTGCATTTTGCTTCCCTGACGGGGCACGGGAACTGGACCTGGCATTTCAGTTTCCATACAGATGGCAAAGAGGAAACGATTGAGGGAGGTGTGTAGGTCACCTCCAACACTGGTTCATAAGAGCAGAATCCCAAGGGTTGCTCACTTTGCTAGAAAGTTTTGGGGGCCTACCTACCAAATGGTACAAATGCATTTGGGGTCAGGCCCAACCCCGCCACTTACTAAGGACATAGCCAAGTCTTCAGCTAACCTGAATAATCCGAAGCTGTAACTCTGACCCCGGCTTGGCCAGCTTGAGGATTCAATCCCGGCCAGGGTTAGGTACACCTAAAAGCCTCAGCAATTGAAGTTAACATTTTAATGGAATATTTTAAAAGATTGAAATGCATGCAAAAAATATCATAATAAACAAAATACCAGAATTTTAAATAAACACGGGGTGAGATGGCGTGTGAGGCATCCAGGCCTCCCACTGTCCCCCCCGCATCCCTCTCTGTAAGGACAGGATGCGGGCCCAGGCGTGCAGCCGCCTGCCATTGCTCTAAGGCAGCTGTCACCAAATCTGCTGGACTAGCTCGCGCATCTGGGCAAAGTCCCATTTGCTTGGTTAAACATCTATTCAATGGAATGTAATAGCTACTAAAGAGTTAGTTTGCTGACTAAACCCTTTTTTTGTCTGTAATTACTTGCTCCGGCAGCTGAGCAGAATAAAGGTCTGCCTAGCTCAGCTCCCAATGAAAGAACTGAGTCACCAGACCCCCCCCACTGCCCTCCTCGACTTTCTGCTGGGCTTGGGGTTTTTTCTTTGCTTCCCACTTTATCATGGCTCAATGGGTTTGATTTCTCATTATTAGATTAAGTGAAACAATCTATATTCTGAGGCCGGCTCTTTGAAACTCTTCATACTCAGTTCTTTCTCTTGGTCCTAATTCATTTCAGGCATGCGTGGGGACCAGACAGAAGAGACGATGTAAGTACACGATGTCACTCGGTGAACACCTAGCACAGGGAAAACCAGTGTGGGCTCCATGGAGGTGGGGGCTCCCTCTGTCCCTGCCTTCTTTGAGGTCCAGCCCCAGAGTCAAGCCTGCACACAGTGGGCTCCCCAATCCTGTGCCTCTTGGGGCCTCCATCTGTCCTGCCTGCCCACCGGGCTGTGTGCATAGGTCCTGCCCCTCTGAGAGCTCCCAAGGCAGCTGGGTGAATAGCAGTCCTGTCACCAGGTGGCACATAGCAAGGGAGAGACTCAGGATAGAGTGTCCTCCACGCTGGTTTGTATTAAGGAATCATAAACCACTCAGCGAGTTCTACTGCTTCCTACAATATATTTATTAGGGAGCTGCACACTGCTAAAGCGAAACAGGGACATTTTGATGGTTGAGGAATAGTGTTTTGACGACAGGTTAATATCTTTGTTTTCTTTCCTTTAGCAGGATGAAGATGACGGTATGTTCATCTCCTAACAACTTATATCTCATCCCTTCATCTTTCTGCTCAGGCATTCAAATGAAACTATTTAGTACCAAAACCCCATAAAGCCAATTCTATTTGTTAATTAGTATTAAATAGACATATATTAGTTGGTATACTCCATAACTATAATAAAATGGCATTGTTTGGCCAGCCCACCAAAGAGAACTATTAAGTTCATGTGAATCAGTGCAAATTACTTAGTAGTATAGCAAATTAAAAATGGCATGTATGATTTGATAGAAACATTTTTTATGCCCTCTCATGCATACAGGTAAAAGAGTCATCAACTACAGAAGAAGGGGAGAGCTTAAAATCTGGCTTTCATAAAACAAAACTTGTGAATCATTTCTGAAATTCATATGGTTTCCAATTGACAATTTTCTGCCAAGTTAGCATTTCAAAAATGAAAAAAATAAATGTGTATTACAGGGAATGACATAGATTATCAGCATTTTAAATGCTTTCTAAGGTGAAAAGTCATCTAGAAAGGTCTTGGGACATGGGGCTCCATCCTACCACCTCCTAATTACATTTGACCCTTTTTGGATTTTTTGTATCTCTCTTTAGACTAGTTGTTTCTAATGGAGGAGCAGTTCTGGAATGTCCTATGACACTTGGATCCTGACAATCTGCTTTAGTTTTTCTTCTTTCCCACAGTGCATCAAAGACCTTTGCCTCAGCCAACACTGCTCGCCATGAGCTCCAACACTTTCCCTTCAAGATCTGCCAAGCCATCGCCCAAGCACTCCCTCCCATCGTCCCACATGTCCGGAGCATTCTCAGAGAGGTTTGTGGCAATATCCTTAAGAGTTAACTTAACATCTGGCTCCATGGCTACCGAGCTAATGTCAGGAAGGTTGAAGAAAAAAGAAATCAGCCAGTAGGGTCAGACATTAACCAAGCTAATCACAAAAGAACCACGTGTCTTAAGCCACTGGTGTCCTCTAAGTCTGTGCTTGGGGTCAGATGGGTACAGAATAGTGCGCCCCACGGTCGCCCCAAAGAATGGATTCTTTGGCAGGAAATGGGGCATATTTTCACTTTGTGAGTTAAAACAAACAACCATTCAAGAAACCCAGTTATTTAAGTACTTGAGAGTTCACCCTGTGTCTTGGGTTAGGAGATGGAGAAAACCTACCTTGCACTTGGCAGATGCTAAGAGTTCACTGCACAGGCTCTACCCTGCAGGTCCTTTGTCCCAATAACAGTGGCATATCTCAGGGCCCACGACGAGGCTGTCCAGAGGCATGAACAGGAAAAAACTCAGGTCATTTCTCTCTCAACAAGCCCACAGGATGCCTCCTGGTGACCCCCAAGACCTCCAGCCCTTTGGACTTACTCATTCCTTTAATATGCAAAGGGAGAGGCCCAGACCCACCCTAAATACAAGAGGAAACTCAACCACCAGCGTGACCCTTCTGCCCCTGCCAAGCATGTGGAAGGATTCTCAGTTGTTTCCAGCTTCCTTGGGTGGCTCTCGCTCTGATTTTCTGCTGCTGCTTCTCTCCCTTCCAGCTGTTTCTTCCTCTGCCCCGTGTGCCATTTCCCACGCCGCTTCACCCCACGCCAGGCCTCAGCCCTGGCCTTCATTCTTGCACAGTGCCGCTCGCAGGAGACTGCTGAGTGGAGCGGGCTTGAATGGAAGGTTTGGGCTGATGGGTGGGGGCCCTGCGGCTCAGCATGGAGCAGATGGCATTTAGGGGCCCCAGAAGCCATTACCATCTGCTGTCACTCCACCTGGTCTCTGTCACTCACCCACCCTCTCCTTGTCCATTAGGCCCTGGGGGTTCCCTCCTCCCCAACGCCATGCCCATTGCTGTATTTGCCTAGCCAGAGACAGGTCCTCTCCCCAGAGGACTTCTGCCATTCGCCAAACTCAAAAGCCCCATACTACAGCCAACGCCATAAAGTGGCTTTTCAATGCCCTTCGCACTCGTTGCTTGTTTTGTTTTTCGGTTTGTGAAGCTTGTGAGGCTTTGGGACGGCAGGTAGTGAGAGGTGGAGGATTTCCAGCCGGGTTTNCTCGTTGCTTGTTTTGTTTTTCGGTTTGTGAAGCTTGTGAGGCTTTGGGACAGCAGGTAGGGAGAGGTGGAGGATTTCCAGCCGGGTTTCCCTAATGCAGCCTCCCGCCTGGCTCCTCGCGCCAACTGAAACCTCGCTCTTTGTCTCCGCAGTGGCAGCAGCTTCCCGCAGAGCGCCTCCCTGCCGCCCTCCTTCTCTCAAGGTCTGTATCTGGGACCCAGGGGCCCCTGCAGGCCATAGGCCTTCACAGCTGGGTTGCCAGCCCCACCCACAGTCTCTTGGCAAAGGTCCTGTTGTTTCCTAAAGGCATCTGACCTCCTCCCCCAGCAGTTGAGTCAGTGTCTGCAGTGAGCCAAGGGCTGCTGGAATGGTAGGGAAGCACACAAACATCACACACACACACACACAAACANCACACACACACACACACACACACACACACACACACACACACTCTTCCTCGGGAAGGTGGCCTTGGCCTTAACCTCCCCAAAGAGAGCTATCTGAGCTGCTGTTTTTATACCGTGCTCGGGANCTCTTCCTCGGGAAGGTGGCCTTGGCCTTAACCTCCCCAAAGAGAGCTATCTGAGCTGCTGTTAGGGCTTGGCTTTCTCTAGTGTTAGTTTCCACTAGGAACCTGTACTTGAGCCACAAACTGAGGAGCATGTTTAAAATACAGATTCAGAGCACCGACCCCCAAGGTTCCAGTTCGGTAGGTCTGTGAGGACGTGCATTTTAGATACTCTCTCCTCCCGGTGTTCAGTGAATGAACAGCAGATAGCAAACTCTGCTTCTAAAAGCTAACAACATTCTCAAGGTAATTCCACCTTGTCTTGGGCAACTGACATTTCTTTTTGTGAACAAGATAAGAATAGAATTATCTTTATTCCTGCCTTGTCACCTCATCGGTGGTTGGGAATCCATTCTGGGGGGTGCTGGAGTCTATGAAAGACCTGTCTCTTGAATATTGTTTCTGATGATCACATTAAAGTGACTGTGACTTTTTCACCAATAGAGCTAGTCACTGTATATTCTGTAACACACACATTGAAGGAACTACTCGAATTTGTGGTATTGCTCTTAAAACCACAGTGACATGGCTACAGAACAATGCGCGAGCAGCCCTTGTGGTTTTGAACAGGTCCAAATATTCTTGGAGCTATGGCCTCTTGAAATGTTAATCGATGGGAACAATTGCAAGGGCATTTTGGGGGGAAATGTGTTATGACAGAAGTGAGGGCTTACAGTAAGTTAACTTCAAAATGCTATACTCTGAAGGTCCTGGCAGCAGACCGCCTCCCAGAGCGGAAGGCAGGAACTTCTCCCTGCCAGTCCCAAGCAAACCTCGGCCGCCATCCCCGGGCGAAGAAGAGGTAATAGCACATGTGCTTTCATTTAATTTAATTTTCCCCCAGCAAATGAATCATTGTAAACTCCCATTGAATATTCTTTTGTACTTTTATCTTCTATTGGCCTTAATTTTTTTTAAGTGAAAATAATTAAAAGGGAGGATCCAGGTGAAAAATATGTTCTTTTTCCTTGGTGCTCTCATGGACCTCTCCAGTGGCAAATGTGTGTTGTGCCTTCAACGAGTAACATAATCCTGATTTTACCTGCTTCCTGGCTTATGACCTTGAGTCAGTCCCTTAACTGCTTGTTAATTCAGTCTTTTCATTAAGTATATTATTATATTAAACTGAAGAAATTATTTGATTGGAGGCTCCATTACATAAGGCAGGCTACCTTCCAAACCAGCATCAGGATAAGAAGCATTCACATGAAGGCTCTTCTACTTAGCCCCATCTGAATGACCCTATATTCAAATCAGGAAAACAAATGTTCCAGACCTCATGGAATTGAGGTGGTGATTTATGGAAATGATCACTTGGAGGCTTTTATTTTTACTCACACAAGTAACTGCAAAATTTATTCCGTTTTTAAAAATTTACATTTTCAGAATTCATTAAACCAAGATTGGTACGTTTCTTATGTTACCCGGCCGGAGGCAGAAGCTGCTCTTAGAAGGATAAACCAGGTACTGTGCTCAAGTCTATTTTGAAGTAGTTATAAATATTAACGGATGAGAAAAGGGAACTGGCTTTTACTGAGTACCAGCCGTGGGCTAGGAGTTCTGCTGGGTTCATGCTGTTACCGAGGGTACCCGTTAGTGCCACCTTCACACCCACCAGCAGTGGGAGCAAGGGCCCTGGGAAAAAGTCAAATTAAGGCAGCCATTTGGCTGGCAGAATCGCTGATTTTAATATCAATTTTGGCTGGCAGAATTGCAGATTTTATCACCAAAAAGGCCTGTCTTGTCATAGGAATTATACAGTGTCAAAAGGAGACTCTCCCCCAAATTTCCAACATCTTACCCGTTCCATCTTCCCCTTAATACTCAGTTGCCATTCACATCGATGTGAAGAGGTCATATCCAGAGAGACAGCAGCAACTTTTTGCCCTTTCCCCTAGAAATAAATGAACCTTGACCTTAAACCTATTATGTCAGAGAGGAGAAAGCGAAGACCCTTCATCTTTCATGTCTCGAGTCTACAACAGTGGTTCTCAACCTTAACTGCACCTTTAAATCACCTGGGAGTTTTTTAAAAATTCTGATTGCTGGATCTCACCTGGAGAGGTTCTAATTGACTTAGTGAGGACGCTGTGGGCTCTGGGAGACTTCAAAACTCTCCAGATCATTCTAAAGTGAAGCCCAGGCTCTGAATCACTGGTCCCTCGGTATATTTTTCAAAAGAGATGTTCTAGCCGAAATTTACTCATTAACTTGGAATGAAAAGAACAAAGGGAAGCTATTAATGCAGATCGATGGCTATTTAAAGCCATCCTGATTCAATACACAAAGAGAGAGTAGTTTAAGTTCGTCCTTACTACTTAATTCTATTTTAATATCAGATCTTTACAGTATTAATATTATATAGTAATAACTTATGGAATAAAAATTTGAAGTGTAGGATGAATCACAACACTATTTTAGTAAATATCAGAAAAAAATACAAGCCCACAGACGGTCCACATTCAGTTTTGCTCAGGTATGAAACACTTCACCTGGAGATCACAAGGTTTATAAAAGTGCATGAATCTCATAGGCATTTGGGTGTTTTCTGACTTTGGCTGTGGAAAAAGGGGCTAGAAAATTAGCGCCCAGGAGTAGGAAGATATATCCCTAGTTACCCAATCAAGTCCTTATTTTATCTGGCCCTTTATCCACTCAGCCACCTACTATTTGTTTTATTTCTGCAAAGGGGATTCCTTTTCATCAAGAGACTCTAGAGGTCGACTTGGAAATTTCTCTGATGATCTTTCTGCTGCCTCCTTTTTGATAGCCAGGAAATCCATGACACATGGGATTTTAGCTGTTTGGGGAATTGAATGTTCATTGACTTGTGACTGATAGCTTTCCAGATCCCTAGAGACTTGTTCACTTCTTTTATAGGCAACAGAAGTGTTGGCTTTTATGGCTCCCATCATTACAAGCATTTTTCCTTTTAGGATGGCACTTTTCTGGTTAGAGACAGCTCGAAGAAAACAGTAACCAATCCGTATGTCCTCATGGTGTTATACAAAGATAAGGTTTACAACATCCAGATCCGTTACCTGGAGGAAAGCCAAGTTTACATGTTGGGAACTGGACTCCGAGGGAAGGAGGTAAGGAATTCCAATTGCAATATTGCCCCCAAGTTCTCTCTCTCTTTTATAAAAAATATGTATTTATTGATCTCAGAGAGAAGGGAGAGGGAGAGAGATAGAAACATCATTGATGAGAGAGTCATTGGTCGGCTGCCTCCTGCACGCCCCCAATGTGGATAGATTCTGAAACCCCAGCATGTGTCCTGATCTGGAATTGAACTCTGACCTCCTGGTTCATGGGTTGATGCTCTACCACTGAGCCATGCAGCTGGGATCCTCCAATTCTCTTTTTATGCCTCTCTGCATAGCTACCAACATGGAACTTTGCTGTAATGTTCTTTGAAGGTCCATACTGTATGGCAACTTTAGAGTTAATCACTTTAGTGCAACCCTTTATTTACTGAAAGGAAATAAAACAAAATGTTAACAGTAGCTACCTCTGACATAGGAATCTTTCTTAAATCAAAAATCACATGTAATTTTTGAAATCAGAAAATATATATTTAAACTTTTCAAGAGAGCCAGTTAGATGGTGTCAAAGGCAAGTCCCTTCATCAGTCACCTCTGTGACATAATTTCAATGTAAGACTGCAGTGTATTTATAAGGCTGCACTTTAAATCGACAAATAGAATACTTGTTGTGGTCATTTAGATACTTGGTTCATTTCTTATTAAAAATGGAGGTTTGCCCAGCGTGGCTCAGCAGTTGAGCGTCGACCTAGGAACCAGGCAATCGAGGTTCGATTCTCATTCCCAGTCAGGGCACGTGCCAGGGTTGCGGGCTCGATCCCCAGTCAGGGGTATACAGGAGGCATCCGATTATGACTCTCTCATCATTGATGTTTCTATCTCTCTCTCTCCCTTCTCCTTTCCTCTCTCTGTAATCAATAAAGATATATTAAAAAAGAAAAAAATGGAGGTTTGGCTAATGAAAGTGGCCAAACTGCCAAAGACATTTTCCTTCGTTCAGCTGAGATTTATACCAGTCATTTTTTGGGTGGTAATCAGACTGGTATGAAGAAAGCCTTTCAGGGCTGCTTTTTGCAAAGGAAACTAAGAGTTAAAGGTAACGGTGCCTAGCAGAGTAGTCTTAGAGGAAGTGCATGATGCTGTCCAGAGTGCCTAGGAGACTTCTGACCCAGGTCTAGAAGGAAGGATGGGGTTTTTCCCAGTCTGGCCATCAGGAGTAGGATGATCCAGGCAATGAATGCAGACTCAACCACAGAGCCCTGGTGAGTGTGGGGTAGCAGTGGGAGTGCAGCAGACAGATCATGAAAGAACTGCTATGCCACGCTACCAATGTCCCCTACAGACACCAGGGACACTGGCCCGATTCCTTTCACTTCCACACACTATTAATGATTGACATACAGAAACCAAAATAAAAAATACCAAGAGAGTAATAATAAGGCATAGGTATCATAATTAGATCCCCTATAGATGACCCACTATATGAGGTTAAAAAAAATATATATTACAGTCATAAGGTATGTATAGTTAACTACATATAGTCATATTTGGTCACATATATATAGTCTTTTATCATCCATAATTTATTGGTTGTTGGTGAGGAATTATTTTTTTCAAAGTTCTACAGCAGAAATCATTAAAATATTTGCCATATTTTACAATCTTTAAAATCAAAATCCTCATAACTTCAAGAGGTAGGATATTATGCAGATTAAAAAAAGCAACCGAGGGAGGAATCCATGCTGCCTGCTCGAGTGTTGATTGGCCTGTCTCGGCTCTTCCAGGACTTTCTGTCCGTGTCAGACATTATCGACTACTTCCGGAAGATGCCGCTGCTGCTCATCGACGGGAAGAACCGAGGCTCCAGGTACCAGTGCACGCTGACGCACTCGGCCGGCCACCGCAGCAAGTAGGCTGAGCAGCAAGCCCTCCCCGACCGTCACCAGCGCGGGGACACTGGCCAACCTGTGGCTGGACAAACACTTTGGACTGAATCCAACCCTGCAGCATGAACACGACGGTTTGGCCCTTCCACTTTAAAAAGTGTTTGAAATGAAGGCCGTCAAGTGTCCCATAATTTATTTATTCTTCTTCGGTGTTTGTAAAGTGCACAAGTGATAATGGTCACACTTGAACTCTAGTCGTGCACTGTATAATTCATCCAAATAATGTGCATTTTTGATACCCATTTCAAAGCGCAGTAGTTTACATGGCTACGAAAATAATTTGGGGCAAGTTTCAACACACTTAAACAGTAATAGTTTTGATATCATGTAAACATAAAACTAATATTTTGGATAGCCAAACCTTGTCAGTGGCAATCATCAGTTTTATATGTATAATTTGAAACCTACTAAAATTAACCTTCTCAGCAGCAATAATTTAAAAGGCTTCAAAAACATTTCATCTTTTCTTCTTTGGTGTTTCTTTTTGTTGGGGGACTTTTGTATACTTTTTTATGAAAAGGTAAATGCATGTTGGAATAACTTCCCGGGATTAAAATTAATTTGCCTTTTGCTTTACTTTTGGGTTCCTAAAACAACTTTATTGACTTTATTGCTTAGTCCATACTGTTATCTTTTGTTTTCAAGCAAACTTCATCTACAAACGCCAAAAGGAAACATTTTCAATTTAGAGATGGGGTTTTGGTGTCAGATACAGCTGGATTTAAGTACATTAGATCTCAACACCCACATCCCACCTCCTCTACCCCCCACCCAGCCCCAAGAACATGTCAAGTGATGCAGATTTTACCAAAGTCTCCCTGGGTAGATGAAAAAGCAATAGATATATCCAGAAAAACTTGCTCAGAATTTCTGGCTAGATCATCTTTCTTCTACCTCTTTTATCCCCCGACAACTGTCATAAAGCCCCCTCCTCACCCTTCTCAGAAAAGCTTTATAAATCCTGCAAAGCAATGCAGCTCTTCCTTCTTTCTATCTCCGTTAACAACTGGTAGGCATTTTGTAGAACAAAACCCTGGCATTCGGTGGTTCTTCAGGTTTTCCCTTTTGGGCCCTTGGTTGTTATTTCACAGCTTTTATTAACAAAAATTGTTGGCTTCTCTGTTTAATCTACAAGTTTTCTGAGTGGCAAAGAATTATCTTGCAGCTTCATCTTCATGAGCTAATATTACATGGAAGGGGTCTAGGAAGGCACTGGGTTCAAACGACAATGTGCTGTGATGAGTGTGTGGATACTTTTAACCAAGGACGATAAAAAAGATGTTTCACAAAACTTCATCCTTACAAACCAAAGTTCTCAATTTAGGGTCCAGAACTTGGGAGATTTAAAGCTTGGGAGATGAAAAGCCTGCATTTATTTACATGTGTGCTCAGCAAGCGTTTATTCAGTGCCTGCTGTGTGTTAAACACAGAGGCTGGATCAGAGGGGCTCTTCCCTCTGGGGATCTGTACCCGACGCTGTCTGTACACCCGAGCTGTCCGCTGCTGTCCCTCTACCCCTGTCCTGTCTTGTGGAGGAAGCTGGTCCACAACAGGAGAGGATGAGGCCAATGCACAGAAACAGAACCAGGATAGAGACAGTGATCAATTGGTAGAGCTCCTGACAGCTACTTCATCCGTGGACTTCCACGTCACATGACCCAACGCCTGCTTCAGTTAGCTCGAGTTGCTGGCACCTGCTACCAGGAGAGGTCTTATTAATGCAAACTCATACCACCCATTTATAACTCAGTGACGCTCCTTCAGCCTGAGCCAGATTCAAGCATTAAGGTGAATGGTGAGCAGTGCACATGGCCAGTTTCCTATGTCATACACTTGCCATTAGTGAAGTAAATTAGCCACTGAAATATTAAAACAATACAACAGCCTTCAGGAACATAAATGATTATAACTCAACATATTTTATTCAATATATTAGTAAGCTCAGTTTTCCCAGGTATGTGTTAATTCAACAATACATAGTTATAAATTCACAACAGGTAAGAAGTTAGGGAGAAAACCTGTTAGAAGCAAGGGAGAAATCTGGTAGTGTCAGCTCTTCGAAGAGGGACTTGTTTCTTTCTGTTCCCCTGAAGTCACCTGCCTTCGCAGGACGGTGAAAATATAGGGTAAGGCCACACAGCAGTAACTGGGAGATCTCTGTGTAAAGCAGAACAACAGAAGGATGCTATTGCAGCAAGCATGTCCTAGACAACCACTGTTACTTTCAGTAGCTATTTCCTAATTCTTGATTTAGTTTTCTTTTAAGTGATCAAGCCACAATTTAGGTGTGCTCACTGTGACTTCAAGTCAAATGTATATACTACAAAACAAGCATGACAAAAATTTACTAGAAGGGTTCTTCAGCCCAACTTGTCAGCTGTCTTACTAAACTGCAACTTGATTTATGAAAATCTGATTTATACTTTTCTAAACTTACCACTTTTATGTTATACATGTACACATTATAAAGAATCACATAGGTCTATAAGGCATGTTACAAAAACTAGCAGTTTTTACCCAGAGGCAACAACTTTTAACTTTTTTAGCTCATTTTGTTTCTATTGTTTTTGTTGTTTTGTGTGTGATGTGGAGTTTCTTGTTTATTTTGAGGTGGGGGCTGGAATTACCTCCATCTCTAAATGACATGCATATTTTATTTTTTCAGTTTTAGGTATTACCTATCTGCTTCTGATTATAGAAGCCTAAGATATAACTCTTTTCCCTCACACCCAAAATACTTGAATGCAATTTTTGCCAGCTCAATATTTTATGTGTAAAATTTATGATTACATATTCTTCACAGCAGAGTCTTGTGATACGACATTTCCCTTCTTTTAGCTACAGCCCAACCACAGTTAATAATTTCTCTTTTCATTGCTTATCATAAATATATCCGAAATTCCCCCAGTTGGGTAAACAGTCACGTGCCTTAGCCACTCTCTAGCTGAACCTCTCTCCTCTCTGAGAGCTTCATGGCCTGCTCTAGACTGTTCTCCAGGACTCTGTGCAGCTCGCATCTCGGGAGTTCCCTTCACCATTACCCTAGGGACTGCTTTCACCCTTCCCTCTAGAGGACCCTTTTTCCGGAACCTCATGTCTTTCTCTTTTTGGTCTGCTGCCATGTTTGGTGGAACACAACCTTAGTAACTTCCTGAGGGGGAAATTATATGTCTGAAAATTTGTCTCTATACCAGTGCTTCATGGATTGACTGATGATGGAAATCTGGGTTGGAAATCATGTTTCTTCAGATTTCCAAGGGCAATGCTGCGCTTTCTTCCAACTTCCAGTGCTGCTATTGAGAATTTTCAAGATTCTAACTCTTAATTGTTGTGTCTCTTTAGAAACTCTGAGATCTGTTGTTCTTTCATCGTTCTGAAGTCTCAGTGTTGTATTTTGGTGTGTGTCTATTTTCACCCATTGTTTGGGCTGTTTCACTGTAAAAACTCATATCCTTCAACGATGGAAGAGTTCCTCAGATTATTTCATTAATGACTTCCTTCCTGTCCATTGTCTATGTTCTTCTAACACTCCTAGTTGTTGGGCTTCATTGCCTGATTTAACATTTTCCACCCTAAAACTTTTTTTTTGGCTCTATAGGGTATTTTCTTCATTTTTATCTTTAACCCTTCTACAGAGTCTATTATTTATTGCATTTTTAATTTCTAGGAGCTCCCTTCTGTTCTCTAAATATTTTTTATAGTTTCATGTTCCTTTTTCATGGACATAGCATTTTCTCTGTGGATATTAGAGTTTCTTGGGGTGTTCATTTCCCTTCATGGTTAGTGTTTCTTCCTCCTTGATTAAATCTATTTATCGGTTCTGTCTCTGCTTTTTGTATTAGATGCTTTCCTCAAATATCTTGCTGTGCCATAGGTGTTTGTTCAGAATTGAAACCATGGCACTAGAAAGAACACAGGAAGCTCTATGCCCAAGGGGGGGGAACCTGGGCTATCAGTATTTTTAGGTCTTTTCTCTTACACTGGTCGTATTCCTGAAAGAAAAATCTGTTTGAGGGTATAAATCAGGTTGCCAATGTTTTATAACCAAGTGGGAAGAGAAAGCTACAGGTAAACTTTATGCCCTCGTTTTTAGTACAGTACTCTGCCCCTCAACTTGTGGCTAGTGGCTCCAGGCCAGAGATCCCTTGTTTCACCTTCTCCAGGCATAAACCTTGCATCTTCTGTCACAGAGAAACAGTTATCCAGTTAGGTAGAGGGGGAAAGAGTCCTTAGGGGTCTAGAACTTCTTAAAGATTTAACCAGTCCTCCTGTTCTTAGCTCCACCTCCGACCCTACTTCCAGAGGATTCTGGTGCTACCATGCTTCAAGTTTTGGGGGCTATTTCTTGGCTTTACCCAGCTAGCTCACAGTTCAGAGTTTTGGACTTTAGGGTTTCAATTTCCTTCTTTGCTTCCATTTGCTTTCTGTTCTGTTAGTTAACACTTTTCGAGAGCTCTTTTGTCTTATAAATTTTAGCCTGTTTAAAATCACTTTAACTCTCAGGTCTGCCAACGACTAATTGTTTGTGAAAGTTAGAAAGTTAGTTAACCTCTCCATGTCTGTTTCTGTACCTGTAAATGCCAATGTAATATTTCCTACCACTCAAGGTTGTTCTGACAATTGAGTCCATTTATATAAAGCTCTTTGAAGATCTGGATTGTGGTAAATGTATGTGTTATCTATTGACATTATTATTTTGGGGGGAAGTGGGGTAAACAGAGTGTTCATTTAATCTTCTGTGTTTACTAGAAGCCTGCCCTCCTCCAAGTCTACAAAAGTCGCTTGTATCCTAACCGCCTGACCTACCCCATAACTTTTCAGGAACACATATATCATATTTATTATTTCTATTTTACTTCGTGAGAGAATAATCTCCAAACTAGAACAGTCAGATGATCAAGTTTGGGAGGAATTTTTCCAAATGAGTGCAAGCATCCAATACCAATTATTCACTTAGTAAACATTTCCCAAGAACTGNTTTCCAAATGAGTGCAAGCATCCAATACCAATTATTCGCTTAGTAAACATTTCCCAAGAACTATTACATCAAGGCACCGTGTTAACTGCCAGGAATACCTTTAAAAAGCTTCCAGTTGAGCAGGGATAGGACAGGGAAGTAAACATGCAATTACAACATAGTGTGAGAGATGATATGAAAAGGAAGAAGAGATAACATGCTGGCTTAAAGAAAGTTTTCCAACCTCAGTAACCCTGACTAATACAGGATAGTAAGTAGCAGTTAACCTGGTGGCATGGAGGAGGAATGTTGCAGTGGGCGTTTCAGGAGATGCACGTGTTAAGGTAGAGATGCAAAAAAAGAGCAGCTATGTAGATATACGCACAGTTCAGCATGGCTGGAGCATAGGACATGCAGGGGGAAAATAGGACAAGAGATTGGATAGATGGGCTGGGGCCTGGTCTCAAGAGGTCTTATAGTCCATTCAAGGAGGTTCGGACTGTATTTTGAAGACAACAGTGAACCAATGGGAGTTTTCAGCAGGTTTACATTTTAGAAAGCTAAGCCTTGCTATAGAGTTGAGATTGGTTTTAGAGATGATGGATTAAGCAAAGCTAAC